TGGTTTTTGTGGCCCTCAAACTGGCTGCCGCAATCAGGCACCGGGAGGCTGCTGGCTCCAGGCCCTTAAAGTGGCAGGAGGACCCTGTACTCCGCCACAGCTGTGCACTGAAATAGTGGCCTAATTTTAAATCTTTCAGATCAAACCTTGATTTTTGCCTTCTTGTTATAATACAGCCTCAAATTGTTAGTCACCTACTTTAAATTCCAGTTAGACTATAAACAGTCATCACTACTCCAATAATAATAAAATTTCAATCTGCCTGCAAATGCAAACGATTACCTAAGTGGCAATAATGCAAGTTGTAATGCTTCACTTAACGGAGAAGAACAAATAATATTGTATTGGGAAGACATTCCTCAAGTAGTTTCATTTTTCTAGTACGTATATTTTAGTATCATTATGACACTGTCAATACCATTGTCACGTGATACCAGATATACAAATATCCACAGTACATGCTTGAAAAGCTGGTTATATGAACTGCAACTTTGCATTGGGCTGTAATTGCTTTGTTGTACAAGTTGTTAAAAGCAGGTTTGTTTTCAATTTGTGTTTTAATTTATAAAAGAACAATATAGATCTAGTGCAATGTATTAAGATTGGTTTGGCTAAATATTATTAATGCTACACAATTAAAAGGACCTATTTGTATAAAGGAAATAATGTTATTAACACAGTACCTTTGAAAAGCAAATTCCATGGGGTGGGGGGGTAGTAGTAGTAGTAGTAGTAGTAGTAGTAGTAGTAAGGGCATTAGTAGAATCATGATTAAAATTTGGTATTGCCATAATCTACATTTCTAAAATACCTTCTCTTTAGAAAGACCTCAAAAACTGGAAACTCATTTAAACCTGAGATCTTCCTATGAGGAAATATGGTTGGACGTAGGCTTTACATATGTGGAAACAAAACCAGGAAGAGGTTAAGTGATCAATATAAAGTCATCTCCAATTCAGTGAGAAGAGTACAGAACTATTTTGCCTTGAACATTTTTTTTAACTTATCAATTTAAAATCTTTCAGATTATTTCTCTAATTCATAAATAATTAAATTCTATAAATATTCATTAAGTAGAATTAATCAAATCATAGTATCCTATAAAATATCATTGAGATGGATGTATGTACACACGCATGCTTAACTCAAATTAGCTGTAAAACTTTTTCAGCAGTTATAGTTCATAAACAAAGATTATGGAAAACTTACTAGGCATCTTTTTAATTTTATCAGTATTTTGCTTCGTTCCTAATAATCTTTTCACTTGGGCAGGAACTATATTGTAATCATGGCATATAGTTCATTAAAATAAAGACAGATGTGTAGGTGCGTCTACATGTACATTTACGGCCATTTAAAATTTACCGCATGGGAAGTTTCTGTGCAGTAAGCAGGAATAGGCCAGCATCTACACAATCAGGTATCAAAGCATATTAACACTGTGTACAGACTGACTTGGGAGTCCCAAGTCAGTTCACACATACACGCACACATAGTTACTACACAGTAAGTCATCTATACATGTGCTACTGTGCCAGTAACTAACTGGGAATAAATTTGATACCTGCATGCTGAAGGTATAAATTTACATTCAAGTCTGTGCTAGTAACCATATTTACTACGAAGTATGGGCGTGCACATATAGAAGTGTGCCTATACTGTGCAGTAAATTTTGTTACTGCGCAGTAAATGTGGATGCGCCCAGTGTTCCCCTAATTATAAAACAGGCAAACAGGGAGGGAAAGGGTGGGGGAGGGGAAATCCATGTTTAATGGTTTTTCAGAGCTAACAACAGACCACAAAACTCAAGAATGCTGAAATGTTCATGAACATGTACATTGTAACCACTAACTCTTGCCCATTTTCTTCACCTCAAAGAATATTCTTGACCTTTTTAAACAGATTATTTGTGATATACGAGGAAGAACTACTGAAAAGGTAAGATGAGTTCATACTAGTTTATTCACACATCCACATCCACCCACCCACCCACACTATTTTTAAATAAGGAGAAAGAAGTGCTTGTTTCTCTTCTGTTTTTCAGTTAAATCTTCTGGCTGATGCCAATTAGCCCTTTGGCGAAGTCATGTTAAAACTGCATGGCTTTCAGGGCACCCACATCCAAAAATAAACCTGAAGTAACAAAGTATTCTACCTTTTTTGCTGCCCAATCCTTTCCAGGCAAGCAAGAAAGCAAAAGTATCCATCCCTCCTTGAGCAAGTTTTGAGTAAGCTTAAATTAAATTGTTGGCAGCCAAACAAGGCACTTGTTTCCTGAAAAGCCTATCTTTCCCCAAGGAAGCTCCTTCCCAGAAGGATGAGAAGTCTTCCTCAGTTCCAAACCCCTTAACTCAAGACCTCACCCTGCAGTAGGAGCTAAATGTCTGCTTGCTCTTCTAATCAGTCACCTGGTGAGCTGGGCTCTCCCATTTTAATTCCTCACCTGAAGCCTGACAATTAGCTAGCTCACTTGTTGTGTGCAGTCGATTAGGCTCCCAGCAGTCCATTTACTCTTTCCAGATATACCTGATGTTGTATATTCCTTCATATCTGCCTTTTGCCACAAGGGGAAATTATTTGAGGCACTTTCACTTCATACTATAAAACTTGAGTCAAGCAAGAAATTGCTTGGGAATAGGAGATTTCAGCCCAGGTCATAATCATTTTACACTGAAATACTAAATGCATTCAACCTTTTAGTCATGTATCACTTAAAATACTCTTTCTAGTATATCAAGCTTTTGTATGGTTGAAAAAAAAAAAAAAAAAAATTACAGCTACCATACCTTAAATTTTAGTATCTCTGTATCAGTGCAAGTACTTTAAAGGATAGTTAGTTTTCTGTCATGGAGGGTACTGGGCAATATACAGCTGATAAAATGGAAGACCATATCTTCTTTACGTTAAAATTCCTCAGTAACTAAGATTATTTGACTTATGACTTTTCAGCATGATTTATTCCACAGTGGATTTTATACTTTAATTAGTATTTCTAGTCAGAATATATGCAAAACTTGATTTAGCTTGAACTAGGATTGCATCTTTCAGTACAATGCAGCTAGACGACACAACATGAACTAAGGCCCTGATTCAGCAAACCCTCCTTATTCAATAAAGCTTTTAAGCATGTACTTTATGAACTGGGACTTAAACAAATTTAGTATGAAACTTCAGTTGTTTGCAGCATACCAAAAAACTAGTTATGTTTTCATACAGCATTAACCCTACTAGAGTTCTTGCACTTCTTCAGAATCTCCTAAGCAATTGCTATAAGCAGTTCCTTGTCAGCCTGCAACCCTCTCCTTGATGCTAACTTAGACATTATTCTTGACTGAAGCAGCCAGTAAGGAGCACTTGTGAAGATGAAGAGAATGGATTTAGCTATGGCACCTTCTCTATTGGTTTTTGAGCAGCAAGTGACTTTCTAAACAGAGCACTACCCAAAAACTACACACCCATCACAACAATAATTGCACCCAATTATTTATATAAATGGATATACATACTGAAGTTAAGTTGTCAGTGCCTTCTTGGTATTTGTATTCTTTAAGTAAAGCATAAATTGTGTAAAATGTACACCGATAGATCAGGAAGGCATATGAATTTGCTATCTGAGAGGTCCATGAAGTCTGTTCTTTCATTAATACAAAGGAAATTCTGCAGACATTTTTAATTAAATAGTCATGGGAGTTAATTGCATAAATTACCTGTGCATTCAAGAGACAAAGAGAACTCTAACTTTCACCTTCATAGAAAGATTTTATATTCCAAGAGAAAAAACTTAAATCCAAATGCGTTTAAGGAAAAAAGTCAGCACAAAACTATTCACAAGTAAGAACCATAAAACATCAAAAGAAACAAACCCAAATAATAAACTTTGTGCCTATACTGACCACTAATAATTTTATAAGTTTATAAGTTCATATTGCAAGACACAACATCACCGCACTGACTATCAACAACAAGCAATTGTCTATTTGAAACAAAAGTTAATCACAGCAATATTTTCACATCGTCATATTTTTGCTACAATAATAAATCTATCTAAAAATATACAGGACTTTTTGCTATTGGTATTTAAACAAATGTAAGCATCTGGCCACGTCTATCAAATAAAAAAAAAAAAAAGTCTGGAGAGAAGCTTTTTACAGATGCAATTAAAAGAAAGTAAATTCCATTAATCCTTCATACAATCATTCCAACAAATAAAACCATTACTTGTTTTCTTGAAGTGAATATGCATTTAGAATGCACTATCACCAATATTTTATTCTATGCAAGGAAATAACTTTCTTTTCCACTATTACTTATCTAACAGATGTAGATTACTGATGTTTTTTATTAAAATAATTATTGCCAAGAGTTGTACAAAAAATGACCCTTCAAAAACCTATTTTTTAATTTTAAGAGAAATGTTCTTAAAATTAGTATGCCATGCAGGTACCCCAAATCAAACTATATTGCAAGAAGATTAAACAAAGAACAAAAAAAAAAAATCAGAGAAAACACATTTTTGCCTTGGGTACACTTTCAAGGTATTAAAAACAAAACAAAACAGGCACCCTCAAAAAACCATGATACCTAGAATACTTCTATTTTTCTAAATGCTGTTCAGGACAAAATACTACAGATAATATAAAACATATTAGCAGTGTCAATCCACTAATCCATCCTCTGGAAACAAATCTCTTATACAAAGAGAGAAAAATTGCAACAGAATATGGTCTTTTCCCAAATCTCACTCCCACCAGATTATACATAAATCAGAATCCATGTATTCCTACCTCGATCAAAAAGTCTCCTGTTCTCAAGCCAGCTTGCCATGCTACTCCACCTTCATCCACAGATTCTAGGTACTGCAAAGCAGGAAAGGCTGGAGTTGGGGTGAATTCTTCAATTGGTGTATCAGCTTCAGGGAAAAAAAAATAACCCACAATATTCATTAATTCCTTTTTTTTAATATTTACAACTAAAAATGACTTAACTGAAAGGACAAGTATGGCATTATCATTTATAGAAATAAGAAATATACAGGGTACTAGAGTATGACAGGCCCTTGTCTCATATTCTAGGTACTGGAATACAATATCTAGATATTGGGAACAAAGAACAACCCATCTGCAATGGCAATCTACAGTTCTTCTCTTCTGAGGGAAACCAAAAATCCTCCCCCCACACCCTAATAACTACCTTCTATTATGCCATAAATCAAAAAAAAGAGCAACTAAAAGTAGCTTAATTTTTATAACAAATTTCATATTCACAGACAGGTTTTTTTGTAAACATAGCATATGTAAAAATGCACGTTATTCTAAGAAAGAGCTTAATTCACTTTTAAGCAGTTCTCTAGTTGAAAGGGAAATTTGGCTAACATGAAAAATAGAAAATCAAACTAAAATCTTTGTTCTCTCTCTTTATGGTTTGTTTGTTTTTTTAAACTTAACAGAAAAGGATCAGTTTCTACAGTAAAAAGGCACAGCAGGCCTGGTAGCAACCCTGTATCATGAAAATATATTATTAAAAAGGTCTTTGGATCTTTCACCTGAGGAGTTCTGGCCCTTAGGCAGTAGTATGGAAATACTTAGGCTTATACTGAGGGTGTGACCTCCTCTTGCTGCATAGACAACTCATGCCAGCCGATCAGACAGTGGCTTTCCTAAGGGGTTCCCAATAATATACACTTGGCCAAGATGACGGAGGAGAAATGCTTTTATAGCAATAGAAAAAGGGCATAAAACATTCTAGTAAAAGGGGATAAAAATGGTGTCACAAGAATGAGGGTGTGGAATATCTTTCATGGCCACATATGGGCTAGCCTTTACTTGGTAGGCAGGCAGGGTAAGGGAGAACTCACGTAAGTGAGGGGGGAGGGAAAAAGAGGGGGACATACCATCAATATTTTTTTTAAATGTAAAAGAAATAAAATGTAGTGTTATGTTAAAAAAAACAGACCCTAAAATAGAAATGTTCAATTCTGCAGAATCCTATAAAAGTAGATTTTAGTTTTAAAAACCTGTTAACACATTTTAACATGAAGAACAGCTCTCAAGCTGAACACACTACAGGCCATGCAACATACGTGCAGTTTCTGAAGACGTAAAAAAGATCATATTTTCATACTAAAACTGCACCAATGTCACCTTGTAGAAGATACACACCTATTTTGAACACGTCATCAACCTGTTTTTATACTTGCTATTCATAAAGATATTTTGAAATAGACATCTGAAATATAGAAGGTAAGAATCTTTATTTTTTAAGAAGCAAGATTCCCACAGTAAGGCTTAACTGCGGGGGGAGGAGACATGGTACACGATAATGTTGCAAATGCCTTGGCAATAAAATAAAACTCCCCCCCTCCCCAAACAAAGATTCTACAGAGTTCACCCCCACATAAAACCCCAAGCTGCTCAAAACAGAAACCACTAAAATCCATCCGAGTAGTACAGCATACAGAGAACACTGTTGTCTAGCAACCAAGTGCACCAAGAATAATTCCTGCTTATTTTCAGAGATGTATACATTTTTCACATCAGCACATACCACACATGTACATACACAGGGAAAAAAAATAAAAAATAAAAATATATATATATCACATACCTTTTGCACCTCTAAGTACAAATCCAAATCCTTCATTGTCTTTTTTCTGCAGGACCACTGCCTTTTCTTCAATAATGCAGTCACTGTAGAGAGAATTCCGAGGATAGCGACCATTATTACATCCCTTCATCACCACTGTAGTAGCTGCTCCTCCAGTGTGCAGGTTCATCATCATCACAGCCAGTTAATCAAATAGTGCAGTAACCAAGCATGGGAAAAATTATAAATGAACAATAGTGGAGGAAAGAGACAGAGACAAAGCTTAATGGTAAAAAAGAACATGACAGTGCAACTTAAAAGGAATAAAGAGACAGAAGAAAACGAAGAAATCATGCATGATGGTTTTTTCTCTATAGAAATGACTGAATGAATGTGTGATCATGTAATCTGTGGGCTAGCTAAGACTCTAAAAGAAAAGAAAGTAAGTGAACTGAATGACAGTATCATTAATAAACTCCTCAATCGTGGATGTACCAGATGCATCTTCTAGTGAAGCCAAAATGAAACCAACCAGAAGAAAAATGAGGCAGCATTTTAAATTTATAGATAGATATCTGTTTGCTGTATAAGCTAGCTAAAAGGCACAAATACAGTCAGAAAGCTATGCCTTGCATCAAAAGCCCTTTTTCAATCCTATTGAATGTTGCATGCTGCAAGAATCCCACATGACCATCTGACAGCCTACAATGCTAACAACGTGCAGCTGCCTTGGCGTCATCAAGCACAATTTCCACAGCATCAAGAATCTGCATAATTGAAATAGTAACAAGCCTTGTTACAAGCAGGAGAACACATTCTTTAAAGAATATGTATTTTCTGCAAAACAAATAAATGCTGTAAAACAAGGAGGGAGTTAACAAGTCAATTAAATGCAGGCAGCATTTTCTTAAAGAAAAAGTAGCCATAGGATTCTTGCTGGCATTCTCAAGAAAAAAACAACCAACAGTAGACACTGGATGAAGGAAGTGCAAATGGACCAAATTAGAACTGGCTTAGCAGAGATTTAAAATCTATAGATATATATCTAAATCTATGTACAGATAGACAGACAGACAAAAATTAAAACTTGCTGCTTGCTTGTACCATCTTCCACCTGCAATACACACACACACACACACACAAAAACTAAAGCCACAGAAAAGCTTCTATTTGTCCAATTTCTCACCTTTCTTTCCAAGTAAATAACCACAATTGGGTTCATACAAATGTTTCTCTCAAGTACTCATTATAGACTGCATGATATTCTCTCCATAAGGACAACATTAGGTTAACTATAGTATTTATGAAGTGTATATACTACAAAAATATGGCGGTGAAATGGCTTGATACTCAACAGTATTGAAGGTGGAAAATAGTATAAGCAAGCGCAAGTTTTAATTTTCATTAAAACTTGGTCAACTTCCCTTGACCATTCTGGGCTGAATTTCATTTCACTGCAGTTTTCTTCCTCCCAAATATGCATAAGTTTTCTTTACAGCATCTTCTTCCAATGTAGGAACATTCACTCTTATCTTCATCATGGTGAGTGCACCCATGAGCCTTAGACATCATTGCATAGCAGATGTAACATGCAAGATATAAACACTGTCCTGTGTATCATTCTTGAAATACAAATGGAAATAATGGAGAATACAAAGCTGCAAGCAGCAATTGTCTAAGCCTTGAATGTATCAACAGGTTTACCAAAGGGGAAAGAAAAAAAATTGATAAAGTAAATCAATACAACACACCACCACTAGTTAACAATAATTTAGAGGGTACTGGGGGAAACTGAACACAATAGAAAGTTTAGGGTTTTATTTTCCTATATCCTCTGATAAATGCCATAGAAAATTATGAATATCAATATTTAATATTTTAACACTAATTCATTCAATCCTGCTCCAATGCTAAATTAATATTTTAGCTTTTTTTCTAAACAAGTACTAGCAATAAGTTAATTCTTCTCTCCTGTCATAGTTGAAGAAGTCACAAAAACAGAACATCATAGACCTGGTTTCTATTGTTGGTTGTGTCATGGCCTTACTGCATAACATTGGGTAAAACATTACTTTTGGGCCACCTTTCCACCTCATAAGAGGTATGTTATTTGTTGAAACTAACATTTTCAACAACAATTGTTGAAAATTGTATACAGCCAGACTGCACACAGCCAAAAAGCACTAAGTTTTCTTGAGACAACAAAAATACAAGAGTCCCATGATAGCTGACAAGCAAATTTAAAAAAAAAAAAAAAATCTGTTTTCCAATATGGTGAGACAATGTCAAATTAAGAACACCTGAACACAATCAAAAAACTATCCATATGAGTAACTAAAACAAAACTTGTCTACTTTCATTTAGTCAACAGAAAACAGGGACTTGCAGTGATCTTCTGACTCAATTGATTGCACTTCAAAACTTAAAAGTAGGCACAGTAAGCATAACTTTCCCTCCATACTGAAGAGATAGGAATCCAACAGCAGAAACAGAAAGAGCAAGGGAAGCTAACAACAGACAAGAAGCTCATTTTCATATCCCCCAAGGGAACAAGAAGTCTAACTCTCAGAATAGTTTGCAATATAGTTTCCCTGGTTCCTTTATTCAATGTTAATGTCAAAGTGTTCAATTTATCCCTATCGAGACATGCTGAAGACCTGTTAGCAACCTATCCGGGGCCAGCAGACTGAAGAAAGCCAATCCTGCAAGCAGGTTAAATTATCATGGAACAAGCCTTCTTGGCAGAACGTCCTCAATCCTGAAGGTGTTGTAAATACTTAGCTACATGGTACCCATATAAAGGCCTAACTACCAGTGACAAATAAGGGAGACATGTGATTTTATAAACCCATCCAGAGGGCTGGTCTCCAACAGGGGAAAGGACTATTTCATCATAGGCAGGTTTAGAGGATCATATGGCTCTACATGCGCCTGAGTGGTCCCTGCTATGATGATGATGATGAGCCAAATGTTAAAAAGGTAAAAATGATGTGAATTCAGTTGTCCTGCTTTGACAAACTGAAATTGAGCAGTGTCCATGTAGCGGGGTACATAAGCTAATGCTATGTTTGCCATGAACAAGGGAGGGTTGTAATTTTTAATATTACTGTATTTACTCAATTCTAAGATTAGGTTCTAAAGTCAAGGTCTCGACTGGGCCTAGGAGGCTCGGTGTCCTGATCAGCTGCCATAAAGGTGCAGCAAGAGTCCAGGGCTCTGGTCATACCTGGAGGCTGGGAGAGGCAGTCAGCTGACTGGTACTTCCAGTGTTGGGGGTGCATTATAGTCCTTGACTCTGATGTGCTCCTAAGGCTAGGAGTGGGAATCAGCTGACTGGCCTCCTAACTGCCGGTGCAGAAGCAGCCCGGGATCATGATCTCAGATGTTCAACTAAAGGCACCATGGGATCTGATCCCTGATCCCACAACTGTGCCAGGAGCCAGCAAACGATTAACCTGACATGAAATTGACTAAAGCAATGGACACATGACTTGTTGCAGAAGCAAGAACGACCCTTTGGAAAGTCCAGAGTAATCTTGGAGTAGTGTGATACACTGGTATAAGGTTGTCCATTGCTCATTCACTTCACATTTAATATGGATGTAAGGGCAAAATACAACAGTATGCAGTGTATCATGTATTCACACTTGGCACTTTTTGCCCTTAATACAATGCAATATTTAGGCAAACAGTTTAATAGCTATCAAATACTCAGAGATGTGCTTTCTCTGCAACAAATATCAAGTTATGTTGATATGTCTAGGCAATGAGAGAAAGGAGGACAATTTAAAAGCAACGTTAAAACACTAGTCCTTTAAAAAGCAAATCCATGCAACATGGGCAAGAGTACTGCTGAGCTAGAACAGATACAGCCAGTGTCTTAAAAGCAAGAGCTACTGAAAGTAAAAAATGGATGCAGAAACTTTTGTAGCAGGGCAGAGAAGGACTAGAGAGTTTTTAATTAAAATCATAGAAATAGATCTATCATGAGGACAGGACACATTTAAAGAATTGTCAAATCGTTTTCATAATCCACAAATTCATTACATGTAATTTGTAAAGTATTCAACTTAATGGGCCACCAAATGGCAGGTAATGGCAAGTTGCTGCTTTGTACATGAACAAAATCTCTTCCTGAGTAGAGGAAACAGTTAAAAACGTTTAAAAAAAAGAAAAAAGAAAAGGTGTTCTGGACTGCTTTTCGAGAAGTTATCAATGTGAGTACCAAGGTTCAGACTTCTTAACAGTCACAGTAGAAGTCTACAATTAATTTTTTTGCCTGCTTTGGTAATAAAACTAGGAGGTCATTGACATGGTGTGAGGTAGTGCCTACAGCAAATCTCACTGCAAATAGAATTCTAGTGAAGAACAGGTTTAGCTATTGCTAGAAAGGGTCAGACTAACTTACTATTTATAGGTATTTCCTCACTGTAACAAGTTCAGGAATGTGAAGCTGATCCTAGTAATTAAGAGCATCAAGATTAATGAAGACTTTGGATTTGATTGCTTGAGTTTCTCTGGCCATTGATCATCCAGCTGTATGATTTATTGCTGCAAGATGTAGAGACGGAATAAGAATTCATTGAGGGAGTATAAAATTACAACAGTGCTTGGCACCATACAGAAGAAACAGGAAGATACACACATGGTCTCTGTCCCAAAGTGCTTACAATTCAAGGCAAGCCAGTGTGCTACTCTGTTAAATTTAACTCCAGACTTGTTTCTAGTTTCCAGAAATCCTCCCTTATTCTGCTGATGCTGCTTCAGATTTACATGCTGATGTTACATTCTGGGTATTTTGTAAACTATACAATAAACATCAAAACTGTAGTAGGATGGGAAATACTAGCATCAAATCAATTTGTAAGTGGATATAAATAGAGAGACTAATACACTGGATATTGAGCAGTACTTTAAACAAACATGTTTTTATACTTTTTCAAACTGTGTGTGTGGTTGTTTATATACATTCTCTCTCTAGTGCCATTTGCTTTTGCATATATACATATTTTAGGCGAGTATGGAAGACACCACAATAGTCATCAATAGTTAAGAGTGATCATGCACCTGGACAAAAGGAACGCAATTTGAAAAAGTACGATTG